CTTGTCAGTTGTCATTTGTCTCGAGGTGACTATAACACAGCAGTCACTCAGTTGATTTCTCTCCCAAATTTCATCAACAGGCGATTGCTCCCCTGCACTGTACTCATCGTAGCCATCCAAGATAAGCAAGACCTTTTCTTGATGATTTAGAACGTAGTCGTGCAGATCATCAACAGAAATTTTGCCATCATTGGCGAGCAGCTGAGAAGCCTTAAAAATGGATGGAACATCATGGAGATTACAGACATCACGTAATCTTATCAGAAGGACAAGTTCAAACGCTCCTATGGTTTCTTGATATCTCTGCTGGGACCAGTCAAAAGCGGCTTTCTTGGTAAAAACAGTCTTACCAATACCTGGATAACAACAAACGAACAACATTAAGAGAAACAGTTTCTGATTCAAGTACTTCTAAGATAAAAAACATTAATAGATACAATCACTTCTGAAACAAGAGCTTCGAGCATGAAAATCACTGAAAATAAGTTTCTAAGATGATTATTAGCGCTAACCAAATACTAGCTTTTTAAAAATAACTCAGTCATGAAACAGTACCTGACAAACACAAGAATTGGAATTTGTCTATTTTCAGACCGTGGAAAATGGTATGAGTGCCACTGAGTATGTATTTATTTTTGGACTCTACAAAATGATATTCTTGCCCATGGGAATTTGAACAGGGGCACCCATACGACCGAATGTTTTAAAGTAGGTCAGAAGTGAATCAAATGGTTTTCTCCATGCTTGAGAAGAATCGTTGATTAATTTTAAGCTGCCCTTAAAACTATTTATCTGTTCAGATGTCTTAGGTAAACTTACCCTGCGAGCAGAGGCTACATTTCCACGGTATGAGCTGAATGTAGCCTCTACTCGCAGGGTAAGGTAAACTTTGGTCATCACGAAAGTTTTAGGTGGCTTTTTCGCCTCATCCAAAACTGTTAGCTACTCTGATGGGTCTCGTCGAAAGTTTGAGGACAATTGCCATATGTTCATAGAAATATAGAAATTTTCAGGAAACCTTTTTTGAACGGTAATCGCGATATCTTGGGGAAAAAAGTAAAAAAGACGACCCCCGAAAGTTGGTTATTAATAAGCAGAAAACTCTGAATATCTTAGATGTTGTTTATACCCTTCCGACAGCTTTAAAACGGGACATTTCTAGGCAATATTAGCTTCTCCGATCAGTTATTTTACTTAAAAAAGTTTTTGGGCGCCCCTGATTTTTAATACAAGGCCACCTTTTCATGAGGCACTCAGGAACCCACACAAATTTGACACCCCTCTGTAAAAGACCCAGTGAAACCGTACCCAGTGGTTTAATCCAGTCTACCCAGTGATAATTTAGCCTCCCCGATACCCGGAGAATAGTTTGTTTATACCCGGCTGACTTTTTGCTTCCCCAGTCACTTTCTATCACGACTTCTTCAAGACCAGTGTATTTCATTGCTCATATTTGTTTAAAAGAAGCAAAGATATAAAACATTATTACCACTGACAAAAAAAAAAATAGGGAGGGTACAAGTAGTCAGTCTCACATAAAAAACTGTAAATCGTTTATATAAAGTGTTCAAAGTTTTCATGACTGTAAAAATGTAAGGCCTACCACCCCTTCCTGCTTTTATGGGAAAAGTTTTCTGGGGGGAGTTCCGGGTTTTCTGGGCGGTGTTCCGGGTTTTAAGCGGTGTTCCGGGTTTTTTGGGCGTTCCAGTGTTCCTGGAAGTACTACATGCCAAGGGTAATGGTTTGGACCTCGGGGCGAAGCCTCCCCATATAAACATTTGTTGAGTACCTCACTTGGTACTTTTTAAATTCCTCCGCATGCAGTGCTTGAAATAATAAAAAAAAAAAATTAGAGTGCATACCTGGCCTGCCATAAACCAAAAGTCGCTTTCCACCGTTGAATATCTCTGTGTAGCTTCCAAGCTTGTTTTGTGTCACACCACTGGGTTTCCTGTGATCCTTAAGCCAAGTCAACTGTGTGTAAATCTCATCAATATCAACAGCAGAGCTTTGGTCCCATGGAATGATTCTGACTTTGTTCTTTGCGCTATAAATCATTTTCAGACGTTTCTGGCACTTCTCAAGGCATACAGAATCTGTTAAAAGATTTTAATTACATAAAAAGAACTTGTATAAGTTAAAAATAAATAATTAAATGCTTAAGGCTTGAGTAACATATGAATGCAGCATATGCACTAGCCTCCTGCGCAGATTTTCTTAGGGTTTTGTTATGTGTACCTACCCCATCGGTTACGAGACCCTAAGAACATCTGCTGGGAGGCTAAACATGTGCATGTTGAAAACAGCACAACTAGTTGATAAACGTCTCCTAGTTATGTTACAGTATACATAAATAAGGCATTAAACTACAATATTTTTATATTTACTTATAGTAGTAATCACATCGAAGGTTGTTACTAATTAATTACTTACATGTACTGTAATGATGGTACATGAAGATTTTTTCTCAATTATTCTGTTGTGTTATTAAGTGATACCTTTTTAAGATTCAATCTTAAGATTCCACAGTTGGGTTTGATTTGCAGTTTGGTGTAGGTGGGTAGGATTAGGGTTAGAGGTCAAGTTACAAGACTTACATCACAACTGCACACCTCGGAAAATTCCTTTTGTTCCCAAAAATCTTAGATGTAATTTAATATATTAAGAAGGAGAGAATTTTTCTGACTCCTCTTTCCATCACATTTTTGAATCCGCAAATTTTAGGGTTCCTTTTTTCTAAGAAAAATTGCCAAACCTGGGGAGTGAAATGCAAAAAATTAAACTTCAGAAAATCTTAGGCAATTTATTAGATGAGCTTCGAAATTTGTACACGAATCGAACGGTCATCTAGAAATTTTTAGCCGTCCTCAAGTAATAGAAAATTCTAGGCAATATTTGGCTCTCCGAACAGACATTTTACAGAAAACAGTCGTTGGGTGCCCCTGAAAATTAAACCACCTGAGATTCAACTAATTATTATCTCTATCTGGAACAGGTTCAAGTGAGCAGATTTCACTGGGACATGATACAAGATGTTACTAGTGGTTAGTGTCACATTGTAAGCTACACTGTACCAGGCCACCCACACCTATAGCAGGCACAGTTATTGCTGTTCTGACCTCTCATCTGACGATAGCAACCTGTCTCCAACATAGAGACAAATGTTCATAAAATCTCAGCATTCAATCCTCAAAATATTGTCTAATTGTCTAATTGTGTTACAAACTTCAGTCTGTTACATAATATTTCTCAGGTATTATTGATTCCATAGAATGGTACCTGGTAACTTTTTCTTGGGCTCACTTGCAGGCTGCTTCTTTATTGACAGGTCTGTAAAATGTCAGAAAAAAATATTTGGTAAGATATATTTTATTTGAAGTTAGCAGTTTTATGTTCTCATTACATATTTACTGTGCTGGCCATCAGCAACCCATCACTGACCTCTAGTATGTGCACTAGCAGCAACTGAATACCTCAGTTAACATTAAACAGTTAGAATCAGGCATGGGTCCACACCAGTTTACGAAAATCTGTCAGATTTTTTTTAAAAGTTGTAACTGGAAAATGGTTTGGACGAGTTTTATTTTTCCAATTATTTACTGGCATTAGACACGCTCTCCTGCCTCATCCGAGAAGCATGGAACTGGCCAATACCCCGTCTCAATTAATCTGAGGAGCATGCTTCCACAACATAGAAGCTTTTGCCTTCAGTGCCCATTTAGGAAATTGGTCAATATTTATCCTATAAAAAACTAAATAAATAAAATAAAAATAAAAAAATGAAAGAGGACGCGAAGTAATATGAAAATAAGAACCATGAATAGGAACAATTTAAAAGAGCCAAGACACGAGGCTTTCAATTACAATACAATTGCTCTACCTTTTGTTGGTTTCTTTAATGAAACAACTCTTTCTCGGCAACTAAACATCTTTTCAGTGCAACTTAACGTCAAGCACTATCGTAGAAAGAGGAATCCACTTTAAAATCATGGGTTGATCCTAAGATGATTATACAAAAAAGTTTCTAAACTTATTAGTGTTTAAATGGAAACGATGTCAAGCAAATTAATTACAGCGTACAAGCGTTACACGAAAAGATTTGTTTTTTTATGTTGGGATTCATTTGTATCTTTAGTTAACTTTTATTTTTCACTTTTAACTTATTACCATGCAAAACATATCTAAAACAAAGAATAATAAAGTGGAAGCAGATATAAAATTGAACTTCAACAGCTATATAAACCGGTCAAACAAAGCACAGAAACATGAAAAAAATAATAATAATAATGACATGAATTAAATCCAACAGGCTCTCAGACCGAACTCTTTTGTAATGTAGTTTTTGTGGCACTCTGTGAGAGGCAATCTGTCGGGGATGACCAGCGAACACGGCACAAATGACGGCTCAGCTGCTTGAATGCACGCAACCCGAAGGTGATAATGTGCATCCGATTCCCGAGCGCGCGTGCATAACTGTCCCGTTTGAGGGTCTTTGTAAGTCCGCCGCTCCTTTCTGGCCACACAAAAATCAAATGGTGCGTCTGTAACTGTTCCTAATGATGACTGAAGTGGTCCCCTGCAACCTTGACAAACTTTTATTCGGAAATTCATTTGTTTTAAAAGGAAGGGATTTATATTAGGAATACTGCTTTGAGGATATAAACGCTTCACCCGTCCATTTATTGCTAGCTTGAGGCTTGATCTTCTAGCTGTGGAAGGGACACCACCCTTTCTACCAGGATGTTTTGGCATGTCTGTTCGGACAGTCACTTAGGTGCGTTAAGCGCGCGCGTTCGCATGTGTTTTGTTTATTTTTGAACAGCGCGCACACAAGTGCTAAGCGCAAGCTTTGGCGTTATTTTTTGAGGCAGACATTTTACACTGATGAAGGGGTTATTCCCGAAACGTCTGATAATTTCACATTGAAATTTGGCACTCGACAAATACATTTTTTAGTACTTATAATTTCGTACGAGTACCACGCAGCAAAAACCTATTTTGTAACATACTTGCGCGATATGGTTTTAGAGATTTTGCGCTTTTCTTGGTATTTTGGAAGATGTTCCTGGTTTTCTGGGGGTGTTCCTGGTTTTCTGGGGGGTGTTCCGGGTTTTCTGGGGGGTGTTCTGGGTTTTCTGGGGGGAGTTCCGGGTTTTCTGGGCGGTGTTCCGGGTTTTAAGCGGTGTTCCGGGTTTTTTGGGCGTTCCAGTGTTCCTGGAAGTACTACATGCCAAGGGTAATGGTTTGGACCTCGGGGCGAAGCCTCCCCATATAAACATTTGTTGAGTACCTCACTTGGTACTTTTTAAATTCCTCCGCATGCAGTGCTTGAAATAATAAAAAAAAAAAATTAGAGTGCATACCTGGCCTGCCATAAACCAAAAGTCGCTTTCCACCGTTGAATATCTCTGTGTAGCTTCCAAGCTTGTTTTGTGTCACACCACTGGGTTTCCTGTGATCCTTAAGCCAAGTCAACTGTGTGTAAATCTCATCAATATCAACAGCAGAGCTTTGGTCCCATGGAATGATTCTGACTTTGTTCTTTGCGCTATAAATCATTTTCAGACGTTTCTGGCACTTCTCAAGGCATACAGAATCTGTTAAAAGATTTTAATTACATAAAAAGAACTTGTATAAGTTAAAAATAAATAATTAAATGCTTAAGGCTTGAGTAACATATGAATGCAGCATATGCACTAGCCTCCTGCGCAGATTTTCTTAGGGTTTTGTTATGTGTACCTACCCCATCGGTTACGAGACCCTAAGAACATCTGCTGGGAGGCTAAACATGTGCATGTTGAAAACAGCACAACTAGTTGATAAACGTCTCCTAGTTATGTTACAGTATACATAAATAAGGCATTAAACTACAATATTTTTATATTTACTTATAGTAGTAATCACATCGAAGGTTGTTACTAATTAATTACTTACATGTACTGTAATGATGGTACATGAAGATTTTTTCTCAATTATTCTGTTGTGTTATTAAGTGATACCTTTTTAAGATTCAATCTTAAGATTCCACAGTTGGGTTTGATTTGCAGTTTGGTGTAGGTGGGTAGGATTAGGGTTAGAGGTCAAGTTACAAGACTTACATCACAACTGCACACCTCGGAAAATTCCTTTTGTTCCCAAAAATCTTAGATGTAATTTAATATATTAAGAAGGAGAGAATTTTTCTGACTCCTCTTTCCATCACATTTTTGAATCCGCAAATTTTAGGGTTCCTTTTTTCTAAGAAAAATTGCCAAACCTGGGGAGTGAAATGCAAAAAATTAAACTTCAGAAAATCTTAGGCAATTTATTAGATGAGCTTCGAAATTTGTACACGAATCGAACGGTCATCTAGAAATTTTTAGCCGTCCTCAAGTAATAGAAAATTCTAGGCAATATTTGGCTCTCCGAACAGACATTTTACAGAAAACAGTCGTTGGGTGCCCCTGAAAATTAAACCACCTGAGATTCAACTAATTATTATCTCTATCTGGAACAGGTTCAAGTGAGCAGATTTCACTGGGACATGATACAAGATGTTACTAGTGGTTAGTGTCACATTGTAAGCTACACTGTACCAGGCCACCCACACCTATAGCAGGCACAGTTATTGCTGTTCTGACCTCTCATCTGACGATAGCAACCTGTCTCCAACATAGAGACAAATGTTCATAAAATCTCAGCATTCAATCCTCAAAATATTGTCTAATTGTCTAATTGTGTTACAAACTTCAGTCTGTTACATAATATTTCTCAGGTATTATTGATTCCATAGAATGGTACCTGGTAACTTTTTCTTGGGCTCACTTGCAGGCTGCTTCTTTATTGACAGGTCTGTAAAATGTCAGAAAAAAATATTTGGTAAGATATATTTTATTTGAAGTTAGCAGTTTTATGTTCTCATTACATATTTACTGTGCTGGCCATCAGCAACCCATCACTGACCTCTAGTATGTGCACTAGCAGCAACTGAATACCTCAGTTAACATTAAACAGTTAGAATCAGGCACGGATCCACACCAGTTTACGAAAATCTGTCAGATTTTTTTTTAAAAGTTGTAACTGGAAAATGGTTTGGACGAGTTTTATTTTTCCAATTTACTGGCATTAGACACGCTCTCCTGCCTCATCCGAGAAGCATGGAACTGGCCAATACCCCGTCTCAATTAATCTGAGGAGCATGCTTCCACAACATAGAAGCTTTTGCCTTCAGTGCCCATTTAGGAAATTGGTCAATATTTATCCTAGATCCGATCCTGATAATTCCTTAACATAAGTCATTTTTCATTCTGTGATTGGTCAATTTTTCATTTCCCTAACAAGCCAAACTTTAAACACAAAAGATCCTTTCCTTTTCCAATTCTGCTGCTACAAGCCTAATGTTGTCTTAATTGGCACATACTGTAAATTATCAATCCTCATTTCCCCCTGAACACAAAGAGTGTCGACTTCAAACTCTGCTCACAAGAGAATGTGAAACGGCACTGTCAGGGCTTATACAGCTATTTTGAAAAAGGTTGTCAGAAAAAATGGCACACGACAATCCGGAAAGATAATATGGGATATGCTCAATACACTGTTCCTGACACTGTAGCTGTCGAATCTACTTTTGTTCCTTTCCTTTAGCATTTGCATGTCCATGGCCTCTCCTGCCATTCTTTCAAATTTCTTTGAAAAACAGTGAACTCAAAACCACCTGCAATACCTTTTGGGGTTGTTGCGTGCACTTCAAACAACCACCATTCTCGAAATAGCCGTATATGGGACATATCTCACCCTCAATTAAATTGACTAGCAAAATAATCTGGGTTCCAGGGTGGAAATATAACACAATTTTTATTTCAATGTTTGTGTCTGAGTCAGTAACATGGTGAATGTTTTTATCTCCTTCTAGCAAATTTTCAGGCACAAGCTTCAGAAAACTTAAAAAATAATTTTTCAGGAAATTATAACTTCCTCAGATATTGTTAGGTAGGCAACTGTCATTGCTACACTCACAGTCAACATTAACTTACACAAGGTGTGGAGGAGAACTGGAGGCAGGGGTTGAAAGACTATATAACAGTATATCTTCTATTGTGCATGCCATTACATGTACTTCCAATTAAAGTACTGGCCAGCAATACTATAAATTAGAGAAGTTGTGGCAGTCCATGTATTAAATAACTTTTTTCACTAAAACTGGAACCATTTTAAATGTTAGTAAATCAAAAATTATAGAATTACCTGAACAGAAAGTTTGTCATTATTAATAATATATCAGAACAGGGATGTGAAATACCTTCATAGTGAGGCCATTCTTTAAAAACAACTGGATCATTTAACATGTTGGACACAAAAGAAGCTGCCATGATGGACGCAAATGACTTCCAGGACTCATTAGGAGTGTTGCCATCATCAGAAAAATGTGATATCCCTTTAACAATCACCCATTCAAGGTTCAAATCATGGGCTGCAGCAAACAGTCCTATAAATGGAAAGATAAAATATAATACAGACCACACAAAATGAGATTTTTCAGGTGAAACCTGACAAACTTTAACAATCACCCATTCAAGGTTCAAATCATGGGCTGCAGCAAACAGTCCTATAAATGGAAAGATAAAATATAATACAGACCACACAAAATGAGATTTTTCAGGTGTATGGTTGAACCTGACAAACACAAAGCTGAATTTTAACTCAATATTCTTAGTTTCTCAACACGGAAATTAATGCTTTGACATTATATACAAGTTCACTATAGTAAGAACTGAACTTTTCTTAATTAATTATTTGTAGACATGATAACAACCCCATGGTCACTACAAAGAAAGCCTAAAAAAAAGTAAAATTAATTACAGATCATACTAAGTACAGTAATATATGGAATTAGCACTGCTGTAATCTAGTTTAATATTTGTAAGTATTGCCATGTAAGTCTGTAAGTTCGCCATTTGTTTTTTTCTTTTTTTTTTCCATATATTTATTTTGTGTAATTTTTTTTCTTTTTTGTGTGTGTTTTACTCGCAATAAAAAAAAACCCATGGTCATGCAGAAATGGTAGGCAGTGTGAAAATAAATATGATCTAGAGCTTTATGGGGTAGACTTTCATATTATACTGGAATCGATTGTTTTTAATCTGTAGCCTTGTTGTTCATAACATATATTAATGTTCTGTTCTTATCCATTGTCAATTACACCAACATATATTGTTATGTGTTACATTCTTTCAGATTATGTGTAATTACTGAAAGACAGCCTGTTTTATGTCACACGCCATGGTCACACATGGCTACAATACCAACACTGCTATATGTAAATACGGTATGTTCAAACATGTTTTTGCCATAATGATGAACTGTGGTACAATGGACATGCAACTTAGTAAAATTCAATTTCTGGACACTGCATATATCCAACATTAACTGTTATAAATTCAGTGATTTATACAAAATCTTACCTTCTCCTTCCCATTCAGAAGCAATCATATGAGACTCTGACTTACGGCATTGTTTGGCAATGGCTGGCTCATTAATACCACTCAACATGCCCCTGTCACGGTGTACCAGTACTTGTTCTCCACCTGATGGATCTTTTAATGGTGGATTCCATCCTTCAGTTGAAAATCTGATTAGATTGGCAATCTTCCTTCTCACAGGGGCTGTAAATTCATCAGTCGTTAGTGTAGAGGATACAACCACATCTCCTAAGTTGGTGCCTTTCTGGTTTAATCCAATGCAGCAGCCAACAGAAAACACAGCTTTGGGTCCCAGTTGCACCACTGCATTTTTGACGGTAACTAAAGAACCACTTGGACCAGAAGAACCTTTAGAACATCTCATCAAAGCAACTTTCAGTGACTCCTCTCCACTTTTACCCATTGTCCCAAAGTACACATGTCCAAGGTTCACATGATAACTTTTAAAGGCATTTGTCAAGTATGTATAACAAGCCAAGAACTCACAGTCTTCCACTGTCAATAAGAGAATGTCAACAGGAAGCTGGACATCACTCCATGGTTTTGACTTGTTTGGAAGATCTCTTATTTTATGTACTTCAATACTCAGAGGTGGAGGCCGGGCATTTTCTATTACTGCCTGATGGTCAGGAGCACCTCCTTTTCTTTTGAGGTCTTGATACTGCGCCATTGAGTCTCGGTTAGAGATTTCCCTTAAAAGCGTAAAGACGGAATCCACCAGCAAATTAAGTAACTTTAATTTTCAGTAAACAAACACCTTGTACCAGAATAATAATTTAAAGAATCTTGCATTCTCTTTTACATTTTCCAAGGGCTAAAGAAGTAATTAGTCATCAGTAGTAACACCAAAGAAAATTTTTCACGGCAGTCCAAGAAAATAAATGTCAAATTTCACAAGAATTGTGAAAACACAGATAAAATTCTGAAAATTTCATGTGTAAGATGTAATTTAGTGAAATTTGACATTCATTTTCCTGGGTTCCCATCAGGCATTTTCTTTGGTGTTACAACAGACGACTAATTACATCTTTAGCCCTGGAAAATGTAATATTCTTTGAATTATTCTGGTACAAGGTTTTTGTACTCTGAAAATTAAAATTACTCAATTTCCTGGTGGATTCGGTGTAAATATAATTTATAAGATAACCACATTGGAAAACTTCTTAACAACTGAAAAAATTAATCAATAAATAAGTTAATGTCACAGCCAGTTTATTTATAGAGTCAATCCTGTGACCAAGAAAAAGTGTCCACCTGGGAGATTGAGGTATCTGCTTCACAAAGGTCAATATGAAGAGTTTATAAGTGCCTGGGTCCATGACCCCGTGAAGGTGGGGGGCTCTCCGGATTTCAGGTGACAGGGATGATCGAAGGATTTTGTAGGGTTTGAAATTTTTGATTTCGGGATTTTGTTTGGGTAGGAAAATTTTGGCACATATTTTTTGGAGTAGCTCCATTTAAGTAGGGATTTTTTGGGGGTATTCAAAACAATCTGAAGATTTGTGATAGTTCCGGCGTATCATGGCCGCTTAGTTCCTCTAGAAATTTTTATGGCCCGCAAAATCGGAATGGGATTTTTAGGGGAATTAAACTTTGGTCCAAGGATTTTTTTGGGCTTTGACTTTTGCCCCCATTAGATCATCCCTGTCACTTGAACTGGAGTACCTGCCCCCCACTGTCCACAAATAGTTAGTGTTGGCTTAGGAGAGAAAACCATGTCTTCACAAAGGTCAATTAAAAATGAAGCGTTTCTTAGTGGTGCAGGGACCACAAAAAAGCTTCATTTAGGAGGGAGAGATTTCCAGTAAAAAGGTTCCCTATTGAAATTGCAGTGTTAGTATTATTGGCTACGGACCTAAGTGTAAACTTGGGGGTGAGATCCACTATTAACAAAGGCTTGACTACCAAGGCTGTGCTCTAAGGAAAATTTCAGGGAGCCCTTCGGGCTCCCAAGCATTTTAGTTAAGGCACCCAGACCTCATAGAATTCCTTAGTCTTCTTGAAATACATGTATGCAATAATATACATGTAATATGAACTTACTATGAATTATAGGCATGAGGAATCAATAGATTAGTGTGTACAAGCCTACTTACATGTAATTTAGGTGTCAGTAACACATGATACTCTATACTGCTAAAACGAAGAATGCTTTCATGAAAGTAAGCTTATCAAAAGTTACAAGTAAGTAAACTTAATAAGCTTAGCTCTGCGTGATGACCCTAAAAACAGCTGCAAAGGAGACTAACCTTTTCACAGCCAACGTTGATGACACTTCACGACCACATGCATGCATGCAAAAAATAGTCCATCTGGAAGAAAGAATGTACTTCATTAATTAGCTACAATGTACACTGACGTCATTGATAGCTAGACAAACAGCACATGTTATATGTTAACCAAGGCCCTGAACATCTGAACATTTTAGTCTTCATGAAAAACTCCAGTCAGGTTGACTTACCTTCTAAAATCACCTGAATTCAATACAAACTTTAGGAATCAATGTGCTATAACAGAATGGTCCAAGTTCCCACTCGCTTGGTCTGAAAAATAGTCATCTGAGAGGTGGCACATTACCATGCCGGGTTCTGTCAAAACAAAATTTTGCAAAATTCTGGTTAAAAAATACTTCCTCTTCAAAATCTTCAAAACATCACAAGTCATGATGACACAAATGATCACAATCTGGATTTGGCACCTTTTCACACAAGTTTAAATAATAATGCTCTTGCAACTATTTTCCAATTATCAAGGGCTGGTTTTTTTACATACAAATGTAAATCACCACATCAAAATGAGGAAAATGGTGTGAAATGGCAGTTTGATTCTTTGCTGATTTTAATGTTCCACTGACCAATGATTACCCTGCTAGCAGAGTTGATCACTTTGATCTTTCCTTGAAAAGTTGGGAAAGAGGAAGTGACGCTTCCAACATCGTCAAAGTCCTTTGATTTACTGTTCATCCCACATTTTGGATGAGTCAGACAAGTTTCATGCTAGATAAATCAGTTTTACCTGTGCTCACATGTGTATTGTATTCTAACCCACACTCCATAACAAAACAGATGGCTGCCACTTCGATTTCACACAGTGATTTTGAGAAAATTATTGATTCGATGTTTAGTAAACCACGGCAAAGCGCTCGTCCTGTTTTTAGAAAAATTAGAAGATGCACCCCGATTTGAGATGGATTTTGCTTTGGATTTAACCATGTGCTTAGCTGATTTTATTTCCATGAACGGATCCACAATCCAGTAAGTGTTTCGCGATGTGCTTGTAACTGTGTTTTATTATGAAACTGATGGATTTTGAATAAAAATATTTAAGAAATAATTTCTCAGTCTATTTCTTTTGTGTTTTCTTGTACATAACATTAATTTAAAATACGATCAGGAGGATAACGAAATAAAAAAAAAAAATTAAACCAAGGATAAAATTGAACCACAACTTATATATTAAAACAAAACACAAAATAAATAAGCAAACAAAACAAAAAGAAAGAAAGAAAAGGTGCTACGAAGGATTTGAACCCGGCATCTTCAGCTTGATGCAACTTCTCCTTACCACTACACTACTAAGGATTAGTACGTAAGTCTGGTGAAAAGTCTTTAATTTAAGGCCTTTTCCATGGCAATTCCATCAGCAAAAGCCTTTTGAAGCTGATCAAGCCGTATTAAACACGAATTCAAAGGTATATTTCAGGAAAAAAACCAGGCTATTGACAGTAAAAAACCACCATAAACTCATTTCATGGCAATGAAAGGACACATTATTATGCCCAACAAAGCTGATACAACTCGAAGTAGGACGCAAAGCATAAACTGATGTTTTCTTTCCTCGATTTCCGCGGTTATTTTGAAGGCAATGTCGTTTTCTGAAAAAGGTACTTCTACCCTCGAAATTTATCACTAAAAGCATTTCTTGACCTTGTAAAAGACATTACACGGCCCCTAAAGCAACCAGGAGGGTGCCTTGTTGCTAGGTAACTGCATTCGCTTAAACTGATAGAAATATTTATAACCAAGGCAAGATCGCGCCCTGCTTAGGGATTGTTGTGCACGTTGCCGCACGCAGGACAAATTTATAAATTTGCTCGGCGAGAATTAAAGATTTTAATTTTAAAAGTTATTTGCACTTTTTTGGAATGATAACTCGCGCGGTCATTAGTTGGAAAGCAAGGCTGAGAGGCTCGGTTACATTTGACTTTCAAGCATACTTAATGAGAGTCGACAGAGTCTCCTTGCTCTTCCCGACATATCTAGGAAGCACGAAGCAGACTGTTCGCAGGGTAACCAATGATGAAAGATAACATGCACAGTTTTGTAGTTAGCGGCATGGTAATAAAGAAATGTTGACTTTGTGATGACAGGTTATTTTAGAGGCTTTTGGAATCATGCTAGAAATACAATTACTTAAGGAAAGGTTAAAACTAAGAACTTTGAAAGAAGAAAAATCAAACCTGTATCCACAAGGATACAGCGAAGCGAAACGAAGCGAAACCTGCAATGATTGTTTGAACTGGATTGTCCGGCATTTCAAGACCTTTCATCGCAGTGATCAAACTCGCATTGTCCGACGGATCATTTCTGTTCATGCTGGGTGGAAGTTATACTATATAGCTTTTAAAACTTGTACCAAGCGGCATGAACGTAACTGATCCTGTAATATGAGCATGATCACTGAGTATGGAAAGGATATGTTAGTTTACACATACGAAAATGACTCTCTTTACAAAAGCTACACACCACATAGTTAACTGTGAATGTCTTAAATCCAAACTAGAGAATTCATGTTTGAAACAAACCTGCGTTTGAGGGCTTGGAAGTAAGATCTTTGCTTATGAAGATGTCGGGCGATCGAGTGGACCGGACGTGGGGTGCGGTTACTCTTTTATGACGTCAACGTCTGGGAATGAGGCACTTGATAATGGTCACGCGATATCTTACGACAAAGACGTCAAAGATTGTCGAATTCAGTATAACATTGGTACAGTAGAACTGGGGAAATTTGTTCGTTATATCGAGAGTTCACTATATCGAACACCTCGATTTAACGAGTTCTCGAAAAAACAGCCAAAATGTTCGTTATATCGAGGTATAGTTAATAATTAATTTACAAAACGCAGCATTCCCGGATCTGCCGCACCAGAACCTCAAGAACAGGCAAACAAAACTGTTTCCCCTCCCCTCCACAGTACGCACAAATTTTATCCTTTTTTGTCTGTTTGGCATTCATCTTTTATCTAGACTACGAGTAGTCCCCCATTTTTCCTCAGGGATAGTAGAACGAGGGAAACGCGAGCGGGCGTGAAAATCACCCCACGCGAGAAAAGGCGACACGCGGCGGGGAGAGAGAAAAAAATCATTTTTCTCTCTCCCCGCCGCGTGTCGCCTTTTCTCGCGTGGGGTGATTTTCACGCCCGTTCGCGTTTCCCTCGCTCTACTATCGATCCCTGAGGAAAAATGGGGGACTACTCGTAGTCTATCTTTTATCAGATGTTGACATTTATTCGTTATATCGCGATACATTAATTTTGAAGATTGCACTTCTGGATTGTGTTCGTCTGTATAACGAGGATTTCGTTAAATCGAGGTTCTGTCCCGGGGGGGGGGGGTACTTCCTTATTAGAGGCTATTGGGATGTGTCCTTATTAGAGGCTAGTGGGATGTGTCGCTGGATGGGGTCGCATTTTCACGACTGGTTTGACTATAACGGAGTTTCGTTTTCATAGAGTTACTTGAATGGGGTCGCACATTTTCGGATTTTTGGGGTAAGAAAGTTCTTCATATTTATGAATATTTGTGGTTAGCTAACGGACCAGAATGTTTGTATTGTAGGTGAAAAGTAAAGTGTTCTTCATTCAATATAAAAAAATGGGTCAATTCATTTTAGGACAATTTTTTAGGATAAGGTTAAGATACGTAAAAAGAAAGTGACTAAGGGCGCTTTCCATTTGTCAGAACTGACCGACCAGCCTATTCCCATCGTTATGAGAATTTCACTTTTAATCAAAACTAACCATCCAGATCAGTCAATTCCTAAATATTATGCACAAAGTTAGATGGTTTTTCCGGTAAAACTTCTTGGAAATAGCATATTTCACTGCCAAAATGACTGGTCCGGCCATAGTCCGGCCGGCCAGTTCGGACTTTTGGAAAGCGCCCCAAGTTGGAATCGTGAGAATTCCATTTGCCCAAAAGTGACTAAGATGGGCTCTAAAATTGGCCACAGAATAGACCATAATGGGGTAGGGGTTCGGAGAGGCTAGCGGCAGATACGAAACAAAAATTAACCCAAGAAAAAATTGTGAAGAACCAGAATCTCGCTCAGTGGGTCTACTCCAACTCCTTCTTCAGCACAACAGATTTTTCGTACTTGACACGCCAAAATTGCCAAGGATCGAATAACGCATTCATCTGGTATCTGTTGGAAACTTAGACAGCGAACACTTTGCCTTAATACGTTAACATATCATGGGCTTTTCCAAATGTGCTTCTGGCCCGGGTTGCTCGAAGCATGGTTAGTGCTTACCAGCGTTAAATACCATGGAAACCTATACATTTTTAAACCTCTTAACCAAGGATTAGCGCTAACCAGGCTTCGAGCAACCGGCCCCAGATGGTTTTTTTTAGGAAAACACGTCAAAGGCAGGAGGAAGGTGATGGAAACCAGTTCTAACCTTGGGAAAAGTTTGCTTCCTCTGCCCTCCCCCGCCTCCTGCTTTTTCATAACTTCTTGGATCCTCTCCTTGCCTAGTCCCTAGGCCTCATTTTACCTCGCGGCCAAAGCGTTTCGGGTCACCGTGGTCCATGGTCCCGTTCGCCTCGGATACGTCACCGAAACGAATTGACCGAGAGGGACTGGGAAAACGCCGTACAGGGACTAGGCAAGATCCCCTCTTAGCATTTTCGATTGCAATCCTTTGTTTTTTCATTAATCACGTAATGTATTTTTGGTCAGTAGATCTATTTGGATCAAATATACTACATATACATCAGCAAGGTTTTACTCCGATTATCAAAAGACCAAGTAACTCCACGTGAAAGCAACGCATTCTTATCCTGTGTGGGAATGCTGTGTAATTGATATTTCACTTGGATTGAGAAAGAGCATTTCCAGCTAAGAGAGGTATTTTAGAAAAGCTGGGTTTTTGAGAACCTTAAATGCAGCCAGTTCTCTTTAATTTACGACCGCTTCAAGGAAATGATGCTATTAGCTGTGAAAACAGTGAGAACAAGCAGTAAAAATAGCACAGTTGAATTGCAGTTGTTTTTTCTTTGTCCATAAAGTTTAGTACTAAAAAGAAATAATATATACACTAGAAAATCTCATCAAAATACTGCAAAAAGAGAGTATTTTTACAAAGATCGTCATGAATTTATGTACATTGTAGTATTGTTGATTCATCCACGCAAAGGATTGAACGTGTTTGCTGCCACATCGCACAGCAGAATTACACAGTTTTTCGTGTCAAAAAATTTAAATAATATTTACAGTAAAAATACACAGACTACACCGAAAATCTATTGCGATACGGTATTGATTGGAAAATTTACACAATTACCATCAGAAATTTATATTTATCATAGTACTGCCGATTATGGACTTGTGCCAGATTCATTGGAGGGACTGTCCGTATTTTGTGTGTGTTCACTTATAACTGGACATCCACTCCGCATGTTGGGTAGCAGAGAACTTTGCATTGCATGCGGGGAAAGATATCCCGGGATTCCTAGAGGGTGGGTGACTGTAATCATGTCAGAACCACTTGGTTGCGGGTCGCCGACAATTGTACTTTGCGTTTGCAATTCACGCATTGGCTGTTCCATCATTCCGTGGGAGGAAAGATATCCCGGTGTACCAAGCAGGGAAGGAACTGTAGAACTGGTTGATCCACTGAAACAGTGCGGGTCACCTGCAATTGTACTCTGGGTCTGCAATCCATACAGTGAAGGTTCCGACATTCCTTGAAAAGGGGGGTCTTTACTGGAGGGTGCCAGGCTGTGATTGAAATCATGTGCCGTACTAACTGGAGCACTCACTATCACAGGACCGGATGAAGAGAAATAAAAATACAAATTAATTAAGATCCAGCACGAGTAACATGATATGACAGGGAAAGCTATCTGATTTTAGACTTGTAGCATTCAAGTTAACTTCGCCTTTAATAACTTTTGGAAGTTATTGTACAAACTTTAAAGAGATTAAAGCAATGTCCACTTTGGAAATTATAAAAGATAAACTGAAAGAGAAAGGTGCCTTGCAAGAGGTCTCCAGTTGTTCAACAGGAAAAATAGAACTAACCAGCGGATAAATCAAGAGCCATTAGAAAAAAGCGTTTCCTAATCCCTACCCACTGAGTACTGATTTATCTGATGGATAGCGCTTATCTTTTTATTGAAAAAGCGGCACCTGTTTGGTTCTGTTTTCTATATTAGTCACGATTAGACCATCAACTGAAAGAGGTATTATGTGAAGTTTCCTGTATTCTCACATTGCTGCTTGAGTCGCAGTGTTACAAACCAATCAAATCATGTTGTTTTAGTCGTACTACGGGTAAAAAACCTTACCAGCAGGATCGAGAGGGACTGGAACTGATCCAATGGCTCCAGGATCCTGCAACAGCACGTCCTGAGTACTGGGGCGAGTGTCCCACTTCAACTCATCCAGAATTTGTACATCTGAAGGAGAAGAACAAGTCAGTGAGGAAAAGCTGAGAATATAATCGAGTAAAAAGAAAGTGTTTACTAATTTATGAAAAGAGGACACTAGAAAATCAGTACAAGAAGCAACTCAACTCTCAACTGATTCTTTAAGGAAATGTATTGAGATCAGTATGGAGAATTCGTATGTGGATACTGAGGTTTAAAGGGTTAAGAGAGACTGTACTGGACTGTATGGGATTCTTTTACTAAAGTAAAACATACCGATCAATCCCACCTCTCTGGACCCACTTCCTACTGTCATTTATTATAATAATCCTGTTTGTCTGTTGATAATCTCACATAACCTGTTCTTGACTAATGACAAGTAAAATGAGTCCTTAAACCTTTATTACTACGAGTGTATTGGGATACCACGTCGAGTTCTCACACTTTTGCTGCCCAGGGACGCTGAATAACTCTTCTATTATAAACATGCTTGTTATTAAAAGCGCATTTAATCCCATGAAGTCTCTTTTATTAAATATGAAACTTAACCAATGTTTAATAACAATTTTGTGAATCCGGCCTCTTTACCTCATCAACGGACAAACTTCCCAAATTGGGCTCAGACTGTGTAAATGTGAACAGGCCAGGATCACCGACGAGATACGAATTGCTACCCAAGGATCTTCCAGGTGTAAAGATGGAGGACGGGGTACTGTGATGATGGGATTGGATAACAGGGGAGGAGTAATGCTGTGGATACTGAATGTGAACGGGGTTTGCAGTGAAAGGTTCAACAGGTGCCAGACCATGGACTGATCCATGTGCTGTGGTAATAGACGCTCCTGTCAACATCGGATCAGCTGTAGTGAAAAAAGGAGAGAATTACGATTCCCACAAGTAATACGATGATAAAAAGCGATTGTTATTAAAACAGGTTAACTTACAACGCTAGTTTAAGAGACGGTAACCCCCAATATTTTTAAATAGATACGTAGTTTTCTTACCCTATTGACACCAAACGATGTTTAGATATCAGGTCGGAGAAGGGCATGCACATTGCAATTAAAAGAAGAAAAAAAGACTTAGAAGACGGTTTCGTTAAACGCCGTCTAAAATTTGTTTTCATAACCGGCGCATGGTCTTTAAGAACATTTCTCCTGATCTCTTGACGTTATTCAGTTTGATTTGAGTTATTTGTTTTTGCCACGCTAAAGTTTGTAGAATTGAGAAAAAAATATACAGAAAAGATGGTGACGGGGAAGCCTGAACTGGAAATCAAAGCAACGCCCACTGAATTCCACATGAAAAAAAGCCCACTTGGGATATTATAGAAGGCAGACCTTCAGCGCCCAATATTTTAACATGGATAAATCAGATCAAATAACCAGCCAATGGATAACGCTATTGGTTTCCCTTACACTTAGCCACTTGATAGTGGGTGCCTCGGTTGGAAAGTGCCTATCCAACTATTGAAAAAGTGGGACCTGATCATCAAATCAAAAACGAAAGCACTACACGGAATTTTTGTGTCAGTGTCACGTCGCTGATTAATTCAGTCACTGCGTTACAAGCCCATGAAATTATTTTATTTTAGTTGTACTACGGATGAGAAAAGGTAAGTAAAAACCTTACCAGCGGGATCGAAAGGAACTGGAACTGGTCCAACGGCTCCACTGAGGTCGTGTAACGGCGCGTCCTGAGAACTGGGGAGAGTGTCCCACTGCATCTCTGCCAGAATCTGAACAGGTGAAAAAAGAGAACAAGGGGTGATGAGTTGGTAAGATGCCCAAGCAAAAGGAAAGTGTTGAGATAATTCTCAAAAAGAGACCACAAAGGTAAAGTCTCAGTTCTACTAACTAGTGAAATCATTTGACTTTTTATAAAGATCATTCATATTAAGGTAAGTGGATTATTTGAGAAATAACAAGTTTCCCAAACGTTTGTTTTTGAATTATGGCAATTATGTCATAAAAACAAGTGTGAGGGAACAACACTGAGATCCAACAATCTACCAGCCCCACGAAGCTCGATATTTTTCCTTCAGGAAAGTTTGTACCAAGAAAATGACTGATTCACAAATGAATTGGTCTGCGTTGCATGCGTTTCTAATCGAGTTATTGCGCTAAAACTGCTCTCGTCCCAACTTTCTCGACAAACTCGCGGAAACGCTTGCTACGGAGGCTACAAATAAATGCTTTATAACCCAAATCCTAAGGCTTATGGGGCCGCCTTCATTACCTCATCAACAGACAAAAATTCCCACTCGGTCTCGTCTTGTGTAACTGCAGACAGGCCAGAAGCACTGGGAAGGTACGGATCCCTCCCCCGGGATCCTCCAGGTGTAAAGATGGTGGACGAGGTGTTGTAATGATGAGTGTGGATATCAGGGGAGTAGTGATGCTGTGGATCAACAAAGAGAGGCAGATGTATCCACTGAAGGATGCCAGACCGTGGCTAGATTTATGTACTACAAGAGTAAGAGCTCCGGCTGCTAAAACCAAACTGGCTGTAGAGAGGAAAGGGTAGAAATTAGATCCCACAAACAGTTAGCCTTATGAAACAAGAAACGATTGACATTATTCTTAACTGAAACATTTCTACAACGTACCCCGAAATATAGCATGATAGTATAACGTGACGTGTTTGATCTAACCGAAAATTCCAAAAATTTTTGTCGTTCTACTCTTATAAATCGTGAAAGGGTCAACCCTTGATGTTTTAATAACTGTTACATAATAGCAGTATTCTGCTTATTAGAATTCGCAAAGCAAATTAAGTTTCAGTTTTATTTCTGTCGGATATTTCATTTAAAGCCCTTCGCCACCCAACAATCCATGGCAAGTGAATATGTTTCTATATGACGGGGCGATCTGCAAATAGCATATTCCTTTCTTGTTGTAAGGAAAGACTTTTCACACGCAGTGGGGTGGGGGGTTGACTGCTACAAGTTGAAGCTTTTCCCGTAGGGACCGTGGGAGGGCCACTTGTTTTTGCAGATCTCCTGCAGGCTAATAGCCTCCCAAGCGGACCTTCTTAGGGGTTCGTCACACGTTCCTGCCCCACAAACGTCTGCTGAATCGAGCGGTAAAAAACGTAGACCAATCACAGCACACTTCCAGATCTGGGAAGTGCACTTTTGACCTTGAGAATTTTCGCGCGAGACTAAGCTTCAGAAAAGATCAGAAAGATCCCGAAAGGTGAAGACCTTATGCTTTTAGAACAAACTACTCAGTTAACTCACACGCCTTCGTACTGGAGACTGCCCTCGCGATCTCATTGAAAAAATTACCTTACAGGTTTAATTTCCTGAACGGAAGTCGGCTTTAATACAAAACAATAAAGTGTGAAAACAAAATTCTGCCTTTTGTTCAGTTACAACGTACAACCCCGCCGTTGCCTCACCCCCAGAACACCTCTATGAGCAAATGACATCTAGTTCAGTACAAAGAGAAACATATACAAAACGTCAACCCTTATGTCCTAAGTATTCTTGTTCGGAGCTTAACTCTTTGATCACGTATCACACTCTACCGAGCTTAAACGTATGTGTTTGGCTTGTCAACATTTGGACTTTAACAGCGCCGATTGGTTCTCCAATAATCTGCACGTCAGCTCCAGCTCATATTTGCGAACAATGGGAAAGGAATTTAACCACTCGATTCAGCAGATGTTCGCGCTGCAGGAACGCGTGACGTACCCCTAAGAACGTCTGCGTGGGAGGCGAGCAGGCTAACTACATCATCGAATACTGTATTTATCCGTGTTGACTTAGGGCCAATAACTCCGCGCAATAATATTCTGTTCGTTTCAAACCGACTTCTAAATCTGTTCCCAGAAGACCTGAAATGACCCGTCTCCTCCCCGAAAAAATTGGCTGCATTGAAGCGCGGATGGGAAACGTAAAGCGCCATTTTGTCTTTTTCGACATAGACGTGATTCATTTCTTGATTGGGCGTTACCCTTACAGGCAGCCCAATAATAACACTCCCGCTCTGACACTCTTTCACATGAACTATACCGACGACTTTGACCGTAATGGACTAGTGTAAAATGTTGTATTGGTTATTAGAGCACCGCTTAAGAAAAGCCAATCAAAAACAAGGAAGTTAGAACCTTAGCAGTAGGATCAGGAGGCCCTGGAAATGGTCCTATTGCGTCTCTGGATTGTGAACACAAAACGGTGCGTCGTGAAGACTGAGGAGAATCTCTGCCACAATCTGTGTGATGATAGAAGAGAACATGAGCAATATGCTGATGAGATAGTTGAGCGAAAAGCAACTTATTTAAGTTGTGAAAACGAGACCACAAAAGGAGAAAACCTGAGTCCCCGAACCAGGTTAACTAATAAATTTATACTGACTGCAGGTCATATCATTTGTTACAAGAATCAACGCTACCGTTTTCAGTGACTTTATATTTTCAAGCGAGCCTCAAGCTACTTATTTGATTAAAATGAATAAACAGCCTCTTCACACAGCAATAATGGTAAAAGCTTTTTTCGACAGAAAGTTTTCACTAAGATTTCCATTATTTTAACAAAGTTTACCTCAAGGAGGATCTATCAGTAACCACTCATTGAGGGACAGGTGTTCCAGCTGAAAAAAGTCATGCAACTCAGTCTACAATCCCACCTCCCAGGAAGTACAAAAATAGACTATTTACACAAGAAAACAGGACTTACAAATCTCTGCATAGTTAATACAGGGGGTCGATGTTTTCTATGATATAAAAATCATATAAAACAAACCTTCTCCATTTTGCAGGTTATTTACATCAATGATACAACTCCCGTGGATTTTATTTTAATTGTTTCTCGTAGTTTTTTGCTAAATTTTGAGCGGTCTTTGTTGTTTAACGTTCATTCACAATTGTACAATAACTAAATTAAAGAAATATTTATTTCGCTTGTAACTAGTACTTGACATTCAACATGGAACGGTTGGCACGCGTTTTTAACGTTTGTTGTAAAGTAAAATCCCTTTCAAAGAAAATACCTTATTCACCCACACAAAATCTGATGACCCACCTGCTCCTGATTGTCTTCTGGTTCAGAAGACCATCTTTCATCTTCAGATTCGATCATTTCTTCCTCATTCTGCCACAAATCAAACACTTTCACTAAACATCATTCACTTGTTATGATATTTTAGGACCATGATTTCAGTTTTCATGTGCACGAGGAGAGACAAGTCAAAAAATGCGTCAACGAATGACAATTTCATAACAGTCAAAATGTGACAGCAACCCTAGTTTTCTAACAGTTTGACTCTTTTCTCAAGTGTAGGCGACCAAATGAGAAGCAAGAAGCGAAACACAAAACATGCCTCTACACTGATCACGCTTACTATTAAATAGCAGGTGACTTGAGCCCAATATCTGCCTGAGTTTTGAAACTGTTTGTATAAGACATCTAGCATATTGAGAAAAATAACGTTCACAGTCATGCAATAAGACTAGAAAACTCAGTCATACTTAACTGGAGAATATTCAAACGAATTGAGAGGTGTTAACATCCGATAAAACACGGAGAGGTTTTGGCTCCAGTTTTCTCGGAAATAATAAAAAACCCAACCCATCGAGTATTGGAAACTCTCAAAACACTAAGCTGTGCATTGTGGTTTAAACTTGATAAACAAAATCCTATTCGTTTATAAAAATTTAACTTAAAAGAGACTAAAAAATCCAGTCAATGAAGGAAACAAAGTGTGCGTAAAGTAGCAAACTCACCCGCTCGCTCGCTTCCTCATCGTCATGATCAGCTGATGAATCATCCTGCTGCCAAACACAAAGCAACATTAAAACACCACTCATCACAAAAAAACTAATTTGAAGATCAATAATTCTATATATCTCCGCTGGCAGTAATTATTGTAATCCTTTTTCTCATTTTTTGTAAGCGACATCCCGGTTATTGCAACGTGTCATGCATAAGTTGTTAGTTCAACCTTTCTTAACTTGGAAGCTCTCTCACTATTTGCATTACGTGTGTAACTATAATTTGTCTTTATAGTAATATTGTTTATTGTACGTGTATTGCAAGTAATCTTTAAAAAAAGTTAAAAAAGGTAAAAAAAAAAAGAACAACAACAACAACAACAAAAATGCGGGCCCTGGAAGGCTTTGTTTGTTCACTTTCTACCCCACTAAGGGACAGGTGTCCCACTGAAACAAGTCACAAAACTCAGACTGTAATCCCACCTCCCAGGAAGTAAAAAAAAGATCTAAATCTCTGTACTGTTAATACAGGGGGTGGGGTGATGGAGCAAGAAACCAATTGAATATAAAACAAGCTTTCTCCATTTGGCAGCTTTTTTCCAAAAATGATACCACTCCCGTGAATATTATTTCAATTGTTTCTTGTCGTTTCTGGCTAAATTTTGAGCGCTTTTTGTTGTTTAACGTTCGTTCACAAATGTATAATAATTAAATTACAAAAATATTTATTTTGCTCGTAACTGGTACTTGACATTCACCACGGAATGGTTGGCAAGGGTTTTTAAGTTTGTTGTCAAGTAAAATCCTTCTTAAGGAAGATACCTTATTCACCCACACAAAATCTGATGACCCACCTGCTCCTGATTGTCTTCTTCAGATGACGATCTTTCATCTTCA